ACAGTGCCCCTTGCCCAGACGGCGGCTGGCCCAATGAGCCACGGCCGTGGAGCTGCGTCCGGAGCCTGTGCCCCACAACGGGAGAGGCCACGACAGTGAGAGGCCCGCATACCGCAAAAAATTTAAAAAATTAAAAAAATTAAAAAAAAAAAGAAAGTGTCCGTTCAAAAGTAAATCTTTTTTTTTTTTTTTGGCTTCTCTGAAAAGCTTGCGGGGATCTCAGTTCCCCAACCAGGGATCGAACCGAGCCATGGAAGCAAAACCCTGGAATCCTAACCATTACGCCACGAGGGAAATCCCAAAGTAAATCTCTTTAAATTAAGAAGTTAATTGGTTTAAAGAAAGTAGGTGCAAAGTATGCATGATAAAGAAAAATGTGATACTTGAAGACTGGGGGTTTTTCTTCAAAGTCTGCTTCCTGCTCCAAGAGTCACTGATTAGTCTTTTCTCACCTGTAACAGTTTTGAGTTCTAGCCTGTGTCACTGTATCTTCACGTTGTTCCATCATTCAATCAATATCTATCGGGCTGAACACTTGGCATCTGCCTTTGAGGGTCTTACTTCTGGTCTCCTGACTTCGGTGCCTCCTACGAACTTGGCCTTCCTGCGCAAGTTGTTGCCAGGATTAGCAATAAGGAACAGAAAGCCCCCTGCACACAGTAGATGCTCAGTAAATGGCAGTAAAGGGTCTGCAGAGCCCAGGACATCTGGCTCCAGTGCTGTGTGGGCCTGTCTTACTCTTCCCTCCTCTATGATAAAAATCTCCCATTTTATCGAGCATCTACTATGTGCAAGACACTTTGTGTTCATTATTGCTAATCTTGGCAACAACTGATCTGCTGTTGATGGACGTAAGGTTGCTTTCAAGCCTGCAGATGTTGACGAGTCACCACGAAGATCGGTATACACAGGTTTTTTGGGTTTTGTCTTTTTTTGCCATGCCACCTGCGGCATGTGGGATCTGAGTTCCTTGGGCAGGGGTCAAACCCACATCCCCTGCAGTGGAAGCACAGAGTCTTAACCACTGGACCCCGAGGGAAGTCCCTACATGGGTTTTTATTCACGTGTAGGATAAATTCGTAGAAGAGCAATTTTGCGGAATCAAAGGGCAGCCTCGGCCTTGTTGCGGGGTGGCAGGCCCAGGCTGGACATGAGCAAATGTGTGCAGGCAGCACCGGTTGTGCTGGTCGCAGGGTGCAGCCAGCATCCTTCCCTCCCCCAGTCCCTGACCGAATGCCTGTTGAGATTTGACTCAAGCAGTGGACACCGGTGGGGAAGGCAAGGACCACGTTTGCAATTCGTCACGCGAGCCTGGGGAAGCCTCCCAACCCTGGTCCCAAGTTAGCTTTAACCTTCATTCACTGTCTGTCTAGTCCAGTGTGTCTCCCACCTGAACATCAGAGTCATCCAGAGAACTAGTGGAAGATTTGGGGGCCTCACCCTGAGTGACTCTGAGTCAGGGGAATCTGGGCTGGGTCCCAGGAATGGGCCTCTGTGAGTAAAGAGAGTTGCAGGGTTGGAAGGGAAGGGAGGGGGCAGGCAATGCGGGGGAGGGGCATGGGGCCCCCAGATCCGATGCTGGTCTCTAACCATATCTTCCTTTCCCCAGGTTACAACCATCCTGCTCTCATGAAACTCATTCAACAGCCCCAAAATGTGGTGAGTACCCGGGTAATGCAGTGTTCACAGAGATTCAGAGGATCACTGGGGCAGCCTTGGAAATAGTCCATCCATTCAGTCATCCCTTAAATATTTATTGAGCACGTACTATGCACTAAGCGCTTGGTACGCCTTGGGTGAGCAAAAACACAACGCCCTGCTCCCATGGAGGCAGCCAGTTAGCCACACACATAAGTAGAGAATTGCAAACATACTAAGTGCTACATACTGAGGCAGCCAGTGCTATGTGGGTGTAAAACAGTGATAATGATAATAATGAACAATAGTTACGAGCATAATATGTGTAAACACTGTGGCTGGCACTTCACAGATTGAATACTGCCAAGTCTATGAGGCGGCTACTGTTGTTATCCCTGTTTTACAGAGGAGGGAACTGAGGCACAGAGAGGTTAAGTATTTGTCCAAGGTCACACAGCTAGAGGAGGTGCTGGGAATAAAACCCACAGGAGCTGGGCTTTTTGGGGATGGAGGGGCCGGGGGTCAGGGAAGAGTGGTCCCTGCAGGGAGAGGAGGGTGGGAGGGAGAGGAGCAGAGAGCTTCAGGAACAAAAGAGGACAGCACAGCCGGAGCAGAGAGGGCCAGGAAGGATCCAAGTATGACTGGAGTGGCAGGCAGGGGGCAGGTGACACACAGTTTCTCATCCTCGGCACTGTTAACATTTGGAGCCAGATTCTTCTCTGTTGTGGGCGCCGTTGATGATTGATGACACTGGCTGTAACACACATGTGGAGACATGCCTACATGCTGAGTGTACTGCTGAATGAATTTTCCCTTGTAACCCAGTGTTTCCCAACTTTCTTTTTTCAATTATCACTGCCTTAAGGAGCCTTTTTAGACATTAGTTTCCTGTTGCTGCCATCACAAACTATCACCAGCCTAGGGGTTTAAAACAACATGCATTTATGGTTTCACAGATCTTGTGGGTCCAGAGTCTGGCCGGCTCAGCTGAGTGCTCTGCTTTGGGGCTCACGAAGCTGAGGTCAGATCTTAGCTGCAAGCTCTGGGGGAGGATCCGCTTTGGGGCTCGGGCAGGTCGTTGGCAGAGTTTGTTTCACGTGGTCCTTCCATCGTCAAGCCAGCAACGGCTGGTCCAGTCCCTCTCTCTGCCGCTGCCCTTAGCAAAGGGCTTGTGTGGTTGTGCTAAGCTCATCCAGAAAATCCAGAACAGTCTCCTTTCTGAACTGAATAAGAAGCTTAATTACATCTGCAGAGTTCCCTCTGCCATGTGATACTGGGTTGACCAAAAAGTTCATTGCGATTTTCCCAGAAAAAACTGAACGAACTTTTTGGCCAAGCCAATATATTCACAGTCCTGGGGATGGAATGAGGGTTGGGACATCTTCTTGGGGCATCTTCATAATTGTGCCTACAACACACCTATGGTGTGTGGTATATATGTATACGATGTGGTACATACGTAGATAATAAGCGCCATAGAGATGTCTGTGCTTTCTGTATCACAAGGGTAAGATGCTTTTCACCCCCACTGAATTCAACATGCCCTGACCCAGTTCCTATTCCCCCAGACCAAATTAGGCCGACCACTCCCCTTACTTCTAACGGCACATAAGTAGAATTGTACCGGCTGTGCTCTTTATCATGTCTGGCTTATTTCACTCAAAATCCATCTGAAGATGCATCCTTGGTAGCCGCAGAGGATCCGTCCTCCTGGCTCTAATCATTCCATTGTGTGAACACGCTGCAATTAACATCCTACCTACCGCTGATGAGCATCTGGGTCGCTTGCTACTGTGAACCTTCCAGTGTGTCTTTTGATGGCACGTTCACACATCCCATGATACAAGGCCAGTCCGTCTCTGGCCATAGTGATCGCACACAGTTGGCCTCAGCAGATCCCGCCACACAGTTTTCCAAACTGGGGTGGGAATTCTTCTCCCTCCAGCAGTGTGAAAGCTCCGGCCACTCCCTGCCCTCCCGGGCATTGCCTGTCATTGGGACTTGCATTTTTCTCAGGTGTGACATACGTGTCCACACATGACAAAGAGTGTGATTCCTAAAAGGAAATCAAAGAAAAGCAGGGGGCCTGAGAGCCCGACCACGTCAGGAACCGACTATCCAGACTTAAACGTTTTCCCTTGAATCTGAACAGCAGAAGATAATAGGAAAGAACTCGGGTCCTCTTTACCTGTGGGTGTGCCTGCCTGGGAGGGGCCTGGACGTGGTTCTCACCTCCAATTAGCTGACAAGTCTAGGGGCTGCTCCAGCAGAAGCCGCGTCCTCCGGAGGGTGTCTGGCGAGGCCCGTTGGTGGCTCCAGGCGTGTGTTTACATTCAGAGCCCCGCTTTGTTTTGAAACGTTCTGCGGATCCCAGATGCCTCAGCAGTTGGTGCTAAAAAACTATGTCAACAAACACACCAGACACATTTGCAGTGTCAGCTGCCTCCGGAGGCACAGTTGCCCAGCAGCACGTGACTTCCAGGCCCAGGGATTCTAATTTCGGGGGATGCCCTGCCCCCACCCATCCTGCCCGGAACCTGGACCGGATGCCACCCCCCATCCTCCCTTCTCCCACCCAGTCCGGGGCCTGTCCTGGCTCTGCCCCCAACTTCCACTTGGAGTTTCCTCAACAGCCCCTCTTCATCACTCCCTCCCACCTCCACGTCCATTCTCACCTCCTCCAAACCACCCTCTAAGCTGCGCTGTGCCTGGAACCCTCTCCTGGTACCTACTGCCTTCAGGATGCATCCCAGCTCCTCCACTGCAGGTGTAAAGCCCTTTGTGATCTGGCTTCTGCTTCTTCAGCCTCATTTCTTGACATCTGTTTGCTTACTGATGGATGGAGTGCCTACTATGTACTGGGCACTGTCCTTGGTGCTGGATTTGATGGCAAGATCACAGTCTAGATTACAGTCCAGAACAGTCTAGACCACAGTCTGGATCACAGATTAGATCCGTCTAGATCACCATCTAGACTGTAGTCTGGATCATGGTCTATATCACAGTCTGTGCTGACGTCCTGCAGAGGGCACGGTGACCGGCACAGCCTTAGAGAAGTGACAGCTGACCGCCACAAGCTCAGCAGAGTATATCTGGTGCATCAGACCAGACGACCGTTGATTGACGTCTTGGGTCTTCCAAACTCTTAGCGGGAAATGTGCTCAGGTGGTGGTCAAGGTATTTTACCTGTCCTGGGCAGGCTCCTGCCAAGTCATTGAAGTTCTGAGAAGGGCTTATCAACCCTTTTGTACTCCAAACACATCATCCATTATTCATGTGCCGTGTCACCTGGATCCAAAATCTGGGTTCCAGTTAGAACTTCGTATGTCACCAGGGCCATCTCATTACATTGCCCACAGGTTACACAATAATTATTGGGCATTGCACATGCCCAGTCATTGCAATGTGTGATGAGTGCTGACTGACATCTGTGGCACCTTGGCTAGGCTGGCTGGAGGGCAGCTGGCCTAGTCAGCTAAGACATCAGTGTGACCTCCAGGCCTTTTCACCTGCGTGATTCTGTCCTTCAAGACTGAGCTCTTGCCTCATCTGTATGTTGTGTTTTCCCACTGGCTCCTTCTGAGCACCCAAGAAGGGATCCTCATTTTTGCAAATGAGGACTCTAAAGACCAGAGAGGTTAAGTGACTTGCCTCAGGTTGCACAGCCACTTAAACCAAAGCTCATTCTCTTCTCGCTACAGCAGGTCTGATGGTGAGGATTCTAGAAACCTGTCCTCAATTGATTCTGCTACCCAAATTCCCAGGTATCTTCTGTTCTTCATGAATATCACGCTTTGCCAAACAGGAATACCACCTCCACATCTTCCCCGGGCCCAGATAGGCAGTCACGCTGCCAGCCCGGCCAGCCCCTCTGTGAGCCGCTTCCCCCGCTGCCAGTGATGGCAGTTCGCCTCCACCCTGATCTCGTGCTATGCTTGATTTCTTTGGAGCCCCATTAATACCTCGAAGCCAAAACAAAAGGCCCCTCGGCAGCCCCCACAGGCCACCCAAGGTCTCTGGGCTGTGCCAAGTAAACTCGTGTCCAGCACTGACATTTTCGGGTGGAGACTGCTTGCGGTGTCTGGCAGAGGGTGGGATCTGAAGTCAGCAAACCTGGGTTTGAATCGTGGTTCTGCCCCTTCCTGTCTGTGTGACTTGGGGCAGGATGCTTGACCTCTCTGGGCCTCCATTTCCCCAGCTCTACAATGAAAACGGTTAACTCCCTCCACCGCTTATCCTAGACCCACCCGGCTGGTCACAAAGAAGAGGCAACAGAGGTGTGAGCCTGCCACGAACTCTAGTGGGCCACGCCAAATCCCAATGCCACCAGAAGGATGAGTGCTGGGGCTTCCCTATCCTTGGGTTTCCTCCGATGGGGTGATGCCACCATTTGGATTTGCACTGAGTTTATTACACGATTGAGTCCGAGAGAGAGAGGGGTGCCTGAGAAGTTCCCAAATCCCAGGCTCACACCTTCCATACTTTTTAATTCGATGTCTTTATTTTTATTATTTATTTATTTATTTGGCTGTGCCTCTCTGCTTGCGGGATCTTAGTTCCCTGACCAGGGATTGAACCTGCACCCTTGGCAGTGAAAGCGCCAAGTCCTAACCACTGGACCGCCAGGGAATTCCAGACTCAGTGTTTTTATTTTTGACTAATTTCAGATTTACAAGTTGTAAAGATAGTTCCCATCTACCTTTTACCCAGTTTGCCCCAAGGTTAACACCTCACCTCTCTACGGTACCCTTGTCAAAACTAAGAAATTAACGTTGGTGCGTTACCTACTACAGACTTTATTCAGATTTCCCCAGTTTTTCTACTAGTGTCCACTATTTTGGTCCCCAGAATCCAATCCAGTATGCTGCATTGCATTTAGTACAATTCCTTTCTGTTACCCAAATCCACTTCCTGATGACCTCATTGCTTGCCCATTGAGCAGACAGACCCCTCCCGGACTCTTCCCAAGCCTTCCAGGGGGCACTGGCTAGACCTGGAGGGACTGGACCGCTCTATTCTTATCCCCATCTGCATTTCCATTTGTGTCTTTTCCATAATGGTGGTCACGTGTCATCATTATACATTTATCAAAACCCATAGAAGGTACAACACTCAGTGAACCCTAAAGTAAAATTGTAACATTCTTTTTACACGACATTTTTCCGGCAATACAATATCACCTTCAGTTAATGTGCCTTCGTTTACTTAACCTAATGTTGGCATTCAGAGTGGTTCTCTTTTTTGTTGTAAATAACACTCCCTCTTTCCTGGGTATCAGAAGCCAGTGTCTGTTTAGCATCAGGTTTGCACTGTTGATTTCCTTACAGAGGGAAATCCTTCCCTGGACGCACATCTATCAAAATGGTGTGTGGGGGCGGGGAGGAATTTTTCTAACACTGCTTTTTCATATGCAGCTCATTCATTTGTTAACCAGCTCCCTCATCAGATTGCTCTCCTAAGGCTCATTCTATTTAGAAATTGCAGAACTACTGTTTTGTTCCCCCCGTTTTTGTTTTGTTTTTTAAATTAAAGTGTAATTCACATGCAGTCAAATACATCCTTTGCAGGTACAGTTCTGTGGGTTTCAACAAATGCATAATCTGGGAATTCCCTGGTGGTCCAGTGGTTAGGACTCCACGCTTCCACTGCAGAGGGCACAGGTTTGATCCCTGCTCGGGGAACTAAGATCCCACAAGCCACACGGTGCAGCCAAAAAATAAATAAATAAAAATATCTAAAATTTTAAAAATGCATAATTGTACAGCCACTGTCAAAACCCGGACATTTGCACACCCATGTTCATACTGTTCACAGTAGCCCAAAGGTGGAAGCAACCTAAGTGCCCATCAGCAGATGAACAGATACAGGAAATGTGGCATATCCATACAGTGGAGTATTATTCAGCCTTAAAAAGGAAAGGAGAAAAAAAAAAAAAAAGGAAAGAAAATCTGCCGTATGCTGTAACATGGATGAACCTAGAGGACGTTATGCTAAGTGAAATAAGCCAGTCGCAGAAGGACACATAATGTTTGACTCCACTTATTTGAGGTGGTTAGCGGCCTCAAAATCAGAGACAGGAAGTAGAATGCTGGTGGCCAGGGGCTGGAGGGAGGGGAGAATGGGGAGTCAGTGTTTAGTGGGGGCAGAGCTCCAGTTTTGTAAGATCAAAGAGTTCTGGAGACGGATGGTGATGATGGTTGCATAACAATATGAATATTCTTAACATTACTGAGAACATATGCTTAGAAATGACTAAGATGGTAAATTTTATGTTACTTGTTTTTTAACCACAATCCAAAAAAATCCAGACACAAACCATTCATCTCCCCAAACATTCCCCTGAGCCCATGGGTAGCTCCTGACAGCCATGAGCTGTTTTCTGTCCCAATAGTTCTGCCTTTTCCAGAATGTCGTAGGAATGGAGCCCTGCAGTGGGTGACCCTTTGATTCCAGCTTCTTTCACTCGGCATCGTGACTTTGAGATCCTCCCGTGTTGTTAAGTGTGTGGGTAGATTGTTCCATTTCATTGCTGAGCAGTGTTCCATGGTGTGCATATACCACGGTCTATTTATCGTTTCCCCAGTGGAAGGACATTTGGGCTGTTTCCATTTCTTGGCAACTGAAGATAAAAGCCACAACAAACCTTCATATCCATTCACATCTTTGTCTGACATATGCTATCATTTTTCTCTTAGGTAAATACCTCAGAGCGAACTGCTGGGTCATAGGGTGTGTGTCTGTTTAACATTATAGGAAACTGCCAACCTGTTTTCCAAAGTGGCCGCACCATGTTACGTCCCCACCAGCCATGAATGAGAATTCTCACCAGTAATTGTTATTGTCCATTTTTTGTTTTTCAATCATTCTGATTTTTTTTTTGAGATTACAGATTCAGAGAGAGGTGCAAAAAATAGTACAAAGAGGTCCCGTGTATTTTCTATCCAGTTTCCCCCAATGGTAGCATCTTACCTAGTGATAGTGCAATATCCCAACCAAGAAACTGACACTTTGTTTTAAACCCAGAGCAATCCTAGTGGATTCTCTAAAAATGCAGGGAAGTATATATATCATTCCCCACAGCATGGAACACATCCGCTCTGAAAAGCATCGCTGGTGGGTGGGAGCTGGGTCAGGTTGAGAAGTCACTGCTGGTCTCCTGGTTTTTTTGCAGAGCACATTCGTCAACAGACCTGCCCTCGGAATCTTTCCTCCTGAGAACTTTGTGGAGAAGCTCCGGGAGTCCCTGCTCTCAGTGAGTCTGTGGGGACAGCTTGCCACTGTGAGAACCCACCTCTGCCCTTCACCGCGCTGGCCCTCAGCTCTGGTCTCCAGGAGGCTGGAGCAGCAGGGAAGGAAAGGACTGAGATCCATAATATTAAGGATGGGATGTTTCTACTTCAGTCTTGCTCTTCGTGCTGTTTCTTTCATGAAGAGTCTTTTTAATTTTCCTTTGCAAGAAAAGCTGGGATCCCTTGTGTGCGGGAAAAAGGGAACCCGGGGAAGTTAGTATTGGTCCCACGACAGGGCCTTTGCCTTTGCTCTTCAGTCCTCCTTTGGGTTTCAGTTGCTACAAGGATTAGAGTCCTTCAGAACCCCGAATTCCCACCTGTAAAATATGGGTGTCTCTGGAAAGAGGTTGCGTCAGGAGGGATGTCTGGGCTTTTCTTCGCCTTTTTTCCTCTCTGGCCTCCAACCTGGGGCCTTTTGGGGCCTCTCATCCACCCCCCCCCAGTCAGACTGCCTCCGGGACTGCATCCCTGTTTCCCTCCCAGCCTCCCACAGCCTCCAGGGCCCAGTGTGCAGCCCCTGCAGAGGCCCCGCTCCAGCTGGGGGGGTGGGGAGCCCACAGCTGTTTCCCTCCCCACAGGTGGCTCCTAAAGGGATGTCCCAGCTCATCACAATGGCCTGCGGTTCCTGCTCCAACGAAAACGCGTTCAAGACCATCTTCATGTGGTACCGGGTGAGGTTTGGGGCTTGTATGCATGCAACGTGCACACACACACACACACACACACACACACACACACACACGCCCCCCAGCCACACACTCAGCCCTTGTCCGACTGTTCATCCCAGCTGGTCAGAGTATTGGATGTCAGTGGCCATGGTCGAAATCCAAGGAGGGCCACTGCCTGGACCGGGTTTTCCAAACATCCTGGCAGTGTGTAGTGTAAAACCTCCCCAGTGTCATTATACTGTGTTGCCTGAAATAGCATATACCATCTCACAGATCTTCATTGTTGCCAATGGAATAGTAAAGCAACTTATTCATCCATCTATTTATTTCATCACAAGGACAATGAATGGTTTCATGCCTCAGTCCATACGTGTAACGTCGACGTATATGATCAGCTCTTGAGAAAGCATCCCGTCGTTGACTAGATGTTGGTTTGGGTGGAAAGTGGGAGCCCTTCCTGCCCCAGAGCGTGTCTGAGAGTTTGTTCTGTTCCATTTTATCAGAGCAAGGAAAGGGGCCAATCGGGTTTCTCCAAGGAGGAGCTGGAGACGTGCATGATCAACCAGGTGAGCCCAGCATCCCCCCGCCTCATGCGTGGGGCCCTGTCCTCCTCAAGTAGGAGGGTGTCTTAGTTAGCGCGGGCTGCCATAACAAAAACCCTAGACAGGGTGGCCTAAGCAACAGACATGTATGATGTATTTTTCTCACAGTCCTGGAGGCTGGAAGTCCAAGGTCAAGGTGCTGGCCAATCCAGTTTCCCAGGGCAGGCTCTCTTCCTGGCTTGGGGAGGTCCACCTTCTCACTGTGTCCTCCATGTATCTCAGGGAGAGGGATCAGGCTCTCTGGTGTCCATTCCTATAAGGGCACTAATCCCATCACAGGGCCCCAACCACATGACCTCGTCCAAACCTAAGTACCACCCAGAGACCCCATGTTCAGATACCATTACACTGGGGGTTAGGGCTTCAATATATGAACTTGAGGGTGACTTAAACATTCAGTCCACAACAAGGGATCCTCAAGCATTCCAACCCCCTAGTCCATTCCCTTGGTTTCAAGGCCGGCCGAGTGGAATTCTTCCGACTAGCACTCATCAGTTTCCCAGGACAGCTGCCTGTATTTGACCCGTCTAAAGTGGCATTTCATGTATTCTCTAGAATAATCCAAAATGTCAACACAAATGTATGTGCAAGGGTGTTCACCCGTTGGTGTTTAGATTGGCAACCACCTGTATATCCAGTAATGGGGAAAGATGGATTAAGTGTAGGGGTTCCAAGTGGAACCCCAGCAGTTCAGGGAGGCACCAAGGGGGCCAGTGTTGGGGTACAACAGTCAGGGGTGCATGGGGAAGACCAAGCAAGGCTCCAAGCTTCCCAGCCAGCTTCAATCAGAGCAGGCCAGTCCTTCCCCTAAATCCCACTATGATTGAAGCAGAAGTGTATACCGTTTAAAAAAAGGGGGTGGGGGGCGGGTGTTTGCAGATCGAGAGCCACTGAACTCAGTTACCCAACTGTGTCCAAACACAAAGTTCTGCAGCCAGAATAATCACAGAGGGTTTCTCTTGGCCTGGAGACATGTGTGCTATAATTTAGTGAAAACAGTGGGATGTAAATTGCATAGGCACTGTGCTCTCAACCATGTAAATCAGCATAGGGGCACACCTCAGAGATATTGGGGGCTCGGTTCCAGATCACCCCGATAAAGCAAATATCGCAATAAAGCGAGTCACATGATTATTTTTAGTTTCTCAGTGCATAGAAAAGTTATGTTTATACTATACTGTAGTCCATTAAATGTGCAGTAGCCTGACGTCTTAAAAAAATGTACACACGTTAATTCAAACATACTTCATTGCTGAAAAATGCTAACCATCATCTGAGCCTTCAGGGAGTTGTAGTAGTAACATCACAGATCACTGATCGCAGGTCACCATGACAAGCAGAATAATAACCCCAAAGTCGCAAATATCGTGAGAATTACCAAAATGTGACACAGAGACACGAAGTGAGCAAATGCCGCTGGAAAATGGTTCCAGGAGACTTGTTCCATGCAGGGTTGCCACAAACCTTCAATCTGTAAAAAAGTGCAACATCTGCAAAGTGCAGTAAGACAAGTTACGCCCTATATATCACATTCGGAGACTAACAAAGGAATATGACAAGAGGGCATTCTGGGATTTGTGGGAAGAGGCCTTGGAGCTTTTCCCGGGGGTCTCAGGGACCCAGTGGAGATCAGCCAGCCTGAGAAAACACCATACAACATCCCAGAGACTCAGGGGCCCCCAAGGTGGCCTCTGCCACGTCCCCAGCGGCTCCTGAGTCACTGGAGGCAGGTCTGATTCCCTTGCCAGCTGGAGAGTCAGAAGGCAGTGCTGCTGTGCCATTCGCTTGGGGCTGGAAGAAGACTAGGGTTCCTGAGTCCCTCCTGAGCTCAGGGGCAGCCCCGTGGGGAGAGGGAAAGCTGGGGGTCCCACCCTCCCGCTCTGGCCCAGCAGACCTCGTCCTAAGCCTGGGCATGTCCTGTGTGGGGCCCAGCTCAATCTCAGGTCACAGGAGGCAGGTACCACCACCAGCACCTGGCCCATCTGTGGGCTGTGGGAGCAGTCGGGGGGGCAGGGGGACTGAGGCAGGGGAGTTTGAAAAGCCTGCGGACGCCTGCCACTGATGGAAAGGAGAAAGGTGGGTGGTGAGGGCCCAGGGCCAGCGTGCCCGCCCACCTTCAGGCTTGACCGAGAAAAACGGGCCCACATGGTGCAGAACTTGTGAGAAGACAGAGGTTCAGGATATCTATTTCATGAAATCTCTTGATAAAAAACAAACAGAAAACATCACGTGTGGGCTGGATACAGACCTCTGGAGTCCAGTTTGTAACTTCTGCCTGAGAGGGGATACCGGTTCTCCTGAGACTTTCGTACTCCTCGAGGTTCGTGGGGGCCACCACGTGGGTCCCCAGCTCACAACCCTGACTGACGGCTGTTTCTTGGTTCCAGGCCCCCGGGTGCCCCGACTACAGCATCCTCTCCTTCATGGGTGCCTTCCATGGGAGGACCATGGGTAAGGAGGGCCGTGAGATCCCAAGGTGGCAGGTAGAGTAATAATAACAGCAAAAACAATAGTGACGGCTGCCTCTGATCTGGCACTGGCGGCTTCCACATATTGTCTCATCGATAGCATACCGTTCCCTGGAGACTGGGGATGGCTGTTGCCACTTTGCAGATGTGGAAACTGAGGCTCGGCAAGGGAAGGAACATTCCAAGCCCATGCAGTGGCAGAGCTAGGATTTGAATCCTTGTCTCTCTTCCTTCAAAGTCTGTGTTAGTCTGTGATAGATCAGAAAGCAAAGACACACACACACACAAAGACACATGGGTGCCACTTCAGCTTCAGGATGTCCCCAGAACTGGGGTTCTGCAGGCACCGGGCCTCCCTGGGCTGCCCCATCCCCTCCTCAGAGACGGTCCATCCTCCTTCCCTGAGCCAACCTCTGCTCTTCTGTTGTGCTGGGCTTAGGTTGCTTAGCGACCACGCACTCCAAAGCTATTCACAAGATCGACATCCCTTCCTTCGACTGGCCCATTGCACCGTTCCCACGGCTGAAGTATCCTCTGGAAGAGTTTGTGAAGGAGAACCAGCAAGAAGAGGCCCGTTGTCTAGAAGAGGTAAAACCCCAGGTCCTCTCCTCACCTTCCCCTCAACCCTTCACCCCGAGACTTAGCCCCGGGGAAGAGGAACACACAGAGTTTATCCAGGGACCCGCGTGGCGCTCCCTGGGTGGGATGGAGGGACGGGGGCACTTCGTGTCCCAATGTTCCAGGTTGGGAAAGGTACTGAGACATTGATTTTGCCACCCAGCCTCCATCACCCCGCTTCTGGTACCAACTTCTGTATCATGTGAGTTTCTCTGGGGACAAGCTTCATTGCCTCTGGAGTAAGAGAAAATGAACTGATGGAAAGAATACAGGGCAGCTCATAGGACAAACAATTTCATGGCATCCTGTAGTCCACTGTGTGTCAGTCTTCTCCAGAATCCTGGGGCTTTTTTGGGAGCCCTGGAGGTTGCAGTGGGGGCGGGGAGGGACTAAGGATGGGCAACCCTGGTCCCCGTGCCTCCACTTCAACCACAACAGCCCCCCTTTGATCTGTCCCATATATTGGGGTTCCATGTAAGACATTGGAAGGATTCTGTTGCAGGGTGGGGGGTGGCGGGGAATGGCTATCACCCTTCAGATTTGGATTTGAGCTCAAATAAGGCTGGTTTGCCTCTTAAGCTCATCATTCTTTTTAATTAATAGTTAATACCTACTAGGCGTAAAGCAAGGTGCTAGGCACTGGGTATTTAGTGGTAAATAAAAGAGACAAGGTGATGCAGTCCAAGCAAAATAAGGCAAGCTAAATGTCACTACAGCTTTTCTAGTAACTACATTTTTTAAAAGTAAAAATAATTGGGTGAAATTAATTTTAATAACATTTTATTGAACCCAGTGTATCGAAAATAATTGTGTCATGTCATTAATATTTAAAAATTGTTGATGACATGTTTTTATATTCTTTTATTCGTGTTAGATCTTTGAAACGCTGTGTGTATTTTACACGTAGAGCACATCTCAGTTTGGACCAGCTACATTCCAAGCGCTTGATAGCCACATGTCTTTCCTGAATCCTATCAGAGAGTATAGGGTAGTCAGAAACACAGCACTGGACCAATAAGCAAGAAAATAGCCATATGATGACAAATTGCAGATGACACTCTGATTGCAAAGAAAAGCATCTAAGAGCTTCCTTGGGGCAATTGGTGAGACCGAGACTAAAATTGCATCATCCAAATAGAAGGTTTTTCCTTAATTCTGCATAACAGAGAAAGATTGTACTTGTTACTCTATCTAGGTGTATGGTTTGGGTTTTTTTCAATTATGTGTAATTATTAAATTATTAATAAAGTATCACAATTATTTTTTTATTTTTTATAAATTTATTTATTTAATAAATAAATAATGGGGGCTTTCTCTAGTTGCGGTGAGCGGGGGCTACTCTTCATCGCAGTGCGCGGGCTTCTCATTGCGGTGGCTTCTCTTGTTGTGGAGAGCGGGCTTTCGGTGCGCAGGCTCAGTAGTTGTGGCGCACGGGCTTAGTTGCTCCACGGCATGTGGGATCTTCCCGGACCAGGGTCAAGCCCGTGTCCCCTGCATTGGCAGGCGGATTCTTAACCACTGCACCACCAGGGAAGCCCCAAGTATCACAATTATTAGTCTTTAATTATCTGTAAGAAGATGCCCATTTTAGAGCAAGAGTTCAAGAAATATAACCTCTTGGGGAAAATAAGATGCTTTTCTCACTGTTAACAGTTAAAATTTTTTTTCTTATAATGACCTATAATGGAGGAGAATCTGAAAAAGAATGTGTGTGTGTGTGTGTGTGTGTGTGTGTGTGCAACTGAGTCACTTTGCTGTACACCAGAAACTAACACATTGTAAGTTAACTATACTTCAATTTAAAAAATTAGCTTAAAAAAAGTTAAATTTTTATTTTTATTTTTTGGCTGCATTGGGTCTTCGTTGCTGCACGCGGGCTTTTCTCTAGTTGTGGCGAGCAGGGGCCCCTCTTTTTTGCGGTGCGCGGGCTTCTCATTGCGGTGGCAAAGTGATTCAGTCATATATATATGTATGTATATATATATGTAGATATATTCTTTTTCAGATTCTTTTCTATTATGGATTATTACAAGATATTGAATATAGTTTCTTGTGCCATACAGTAGGACCTTGTTGGTTATCTGTTTTATATATAGTAGCTTTTATCTGCTAATGCCAAACTCCTAATTTATCCCTCCCTCCCCACACTTTCCCGTAAGTTTGTTTTCTATGTCTGTGAGTCTGATTCTGTTTTGTAAGTAAGTTCATCTGTATTTTTTTTCATTTTTTTTTTGGCCGCACCGCGTGGCGTGCGGGATCTTAGTTCCCCGAGCAGGGATCGAACCCATGTCCCCTGCAGTAGAAGTGCAGAGTCTTAACCACTGGACCACCAGGGAAGTCCCTGTATGATTTTTTAGATTCCACATATAAGCGATATCATATGACATTTGTTTTTTTCTGTCTGGCTTACTTCACTTAGTATGATAATCTCTAGGTCCATCTATGTAACTGCTAGTGGCATTATTTCATTCTTTTTTATGGCTAAATAATATTCCATTGTATATTTATACCACATCTTCTTTATCCACTCATCTGTCAATGGACATTTAGGTTGATTCCACCTCTTGGCTATTGTAAATAGTGCTGCTATAAACATAGGGGTGCATGTATCTTTCAAATTAGAGTTTTCTCTGGATATATGCCCAGGAGTGGGATTGCTGGATCATATGGTAACTCTATTTTTACTTTGTTAAGCAACCTCCATACTGTTCTCCATAGTGGCTGTACTAATTTACATTCCCACCAACAGTGTAGGAGGGTTCCCTTTTCTCCACACGCTCTCCAACATTTGTTATTTGTAGACTTTTTAATGATGGCCATTCTGACCGGTGTGAGGTGATACCTCATTGTGGTTTTGATTTGCATTTCCCTAATAATTAGTGATGTTGAGCATCTTTTCATGTGTCTGTTGGCCATCTGTATGTCTTCTTTGGAGAAATGTCTGTTAGGTCTTCTGTCCATTTTTTGATTGGGTTGTTTGTTTTTTTGTTATTGAGTTGTATGAGCTGTTTGTATATTTTGGAAATTAAGTCCTTATCAGTCGCATCGTTTGCAAATATTTTCTTCCAGTCTGTAGGTTGTCTTTTCCTTTTGTTTATGGTTTACTTTGCTGTGCAAAAGCTTATAAGTTTGATTAGGTCCCATTTGTTTATTTTTGCTTTTATTTCTATTGCCTTGGGAGACTGGTCTAAGAAAACATTGCTACAGTTTATGTCAGAGAATGTTCTGCCTATGTTCTCTCCTAGGAGTTTTATAGTGCTGTGTCTTACATTGAATATTTAAGTCTTTAAGCCATTTTGAGTTTATTTTGTGTATGGTGTGAGGGTGTGTTCTAACTTCATTGATTTACATGCGGCTGTCCAGCTTTCCCAGCACCACTTGCTGAAGAGACTGTCTTTTCTCCATTGTGTATTCTATGTAATGATAAGACACTATGACATTTTCAACTTAAATTCCAGGGGTCCACAGCACCCCACATGCCCATCCTCCGAGGCTGCCCAAGAGCCTCCACGAATCCTTGTCATGTCCCCCTTTGGAATCCAGGTGGAGGACCTGATCGTGAAATACCGGAAAAAGAAGAAGACGGTGGCGGGGATCATAGTGGAGCCCATCCAGTCTGAGGGTGGAGACAACCACGCATCGGACGACTTCTTCCGGAAGCTGAGGGACATCTCCAGGAAGGTCAGCACACAGGGCCAGGGCTGGATGGGGCCATGGGCCACTTCCAGTTGGTTTTCCAGAGCAAAGGGTTAGCCTGGGGTCCTTGTAAACTTCCAGATGTTCAGATGCTGCCTGTCGGCCTCATGGGTAGAGAAGTTGGGGGTGAGGGCAGGACGGGGGATTCTCCCCTAAAATCTTATTCCAAAGTCAGTCTCCAACCTGCCGTCTTAGTCGGGGACATTCCCAATCAAGAGAACATCCTGGGGAAAGCCTAAGCCTCCTCCCTTTTCTTTCTAGGGATCCCACCTCATCTTTCAGCCCATTGTGGTCCACACTGAACAGAAGCCAAATGAACAAACTTCATGTTAATATCATGTCTATTTTAATGTTTCTTGCACGTATAACTGGCCTGTCCAAGCAGTCAGTTCACGGATAAAGGTGACATGACATGAGTTGATTTAAACACAAATGCTAAGTAAATAATAGTCCGGGTGATGAGCAGAGCTGGCAAACACTGCACTGGAAGTTTGGGAAATGGAGCTGCCTTACAGTTGGGACACCCTTCCTTCTGAGCAGGTCAACTTGCTCAGGGACCGAAGCCGATGGTTCAGGGAGCATTTGATGTTCCGGTTTCGTACCGGCTGAGCAGTTTGAGGCCACGTGCAGACACAGCCCTGCTGGAACTGCCCTCCTGCAGCCTTAGTTTGGTTTTGCACAGCCCAAGAACACAGGCTTGGTTTGAGGTTCAGAAAGCAGTTGCTCTTGGGCTGGATTTGGGGGTCCGAGGTGGGCGGGTTGCGCTGGGTGTTTATTTCTCCTTCATTCCATGTCGGCCAGCACGGCTGTGCCTTCTTGGTGGATGAGGTCCAGACCGGAGGAGGCTGTACTGGCAAGTTCTGGGCCCACGAGCACTGGGGCTTGGATGACCCAGCGGACGTGATGACCTTCAGCAAGAAGATGATGACCGGGGGCTTCTTCCACAAGGAGGAGTTGAGGCCCAACGCTGTGAGTGTGGACCCGCCCGCCCACCCGTCTCTCCTGTCCAGGGCAGGGGAGGGAGGCGGGGCAAGGGGCATCGACTTCTCATTACTGCTTCTTTCTCACCAACAAGGAACTAAGTGAATACCTAATGTGTCACAGAGGTTTCCTAAAGCCTAGTTCTTATCAATTTAATTTAAAGCCAATGATTACGATTACCCCAGCTCTCTCTGCAGGGCTGACTTCATAGCATTCCATTGTCAGGCTTCTAATTTTTTGCTTTGTGCACAAGCAAAAATATTGTTATTAGCTGCTGCTGTGAATGGAGCATTTGCTCTGTGCCTGGCCCAGTTCTAAGTATTCCTCTTGTACTTTTAATCCTTACAACAGTCTAACCAAGTAGATGGTATTTTTCTCTCCTGTTTTGCTAATGAGGAATCAGACACAGAGAGGTCAAGTAAGGCGTCTAAGGTTACACAGCCTGTTAAGTGACAAAGTCAAGATTTAAACCCAGAGCTCATACTCGAAACCATTTTACTGTACTGCCACTTGTACATATGGATTCTCATACACACACACACATGCACAGAGTCATCAAGGGCCCAGGATCGTTCCTTCCACCATTCCTGCATGTAGCTTCCACCCTCGAGGTCACTTCATGATCCAAAATGGCTACTGGAGCGCCGTCTCAATTTGACGCAGTAGGAAGGAAAAAGGAGGGAAGGATAAAGTGGCCCCCTTCTCGTCTTTAAGCAGCCTTCCCAGAAATCCCACAACATTTCTGTTTCTACTACTTTTGACTAAGATCTGGTCACATGGCCACTCCTAGCTGCAAGAGAGGCTGGGAAGTGTGTTTTAGTTGGCTGCATTGACACCCTGAAGGGGGAGTAAAGCAGGTGGTCTTTGAGGGTCAGACTGCCACCAATCCACTCCTGACTCCACCACCTAAGGGGCCATATTTTCACAGACAAATCACTCAACCTCTCAGCACCTCAGCTTCCTCCTTTATAAAATGAGGATTACAGTAATTAGGGGCCAACCGTCTCAGTTTCCCCAGGACTGAGGGATTTCCCAGGACCTGGACAAGTTGGTGTCCCTAATAGTAGTACCTGCCTACAGGGTTGCTGTTACGGAGAGATTTTGGTGAGACCATATGCATTATCCTCCCAGCACTTAGTAGCTACTCGCTGGGTTAGTCTCTCTCCTCTTAAATGGGGAGAAGTGTGTCTGGGGTGTGCCCGGAACCCTTCTGATGCCCCGTGTCTTGTTCCAGCCTTACCGGATCTTCAACACGTGGCTGGGGGACCCGTCCAAGAACCTGCTGCTGGCTGAGGTCATCAACATCATCAAGCGGGAGGACCTGCTGAATAACGCGGCCCATGCTGGGAAGGTCCTGCTCACGGGACTGCTGGACCTCCAGGTACTCCGCCCGGCCCCACCCCGGCCCTCCCGGATCCCCATCCACGGCTCCCCACGGCCCCCGCGGGCAGCAGCTGAGCTCTTCAGTGTAGCATCACACCCGCTGCTCCAGCGATTCTGAATAGGCTGCGCCATTTCTGTAGGGGACGCCTTTCCACCACTCCGTCCCGACCCCGTTCCCAGTTCCTGAACTCCCGGTTTTCTGCTGACACTGAGTTCAGGCATCCCTCCTTTGAGAAACCTCCCCAACATTCCCTGTCTCTCGTTCCCACTCATGTGCCCACTATTCCCTCCTCTGGACCACCTTCTACATCCTGATCACTCCGTAGCAGCGCTCTCCAGGGGGATAGATTGCTAGCTATGCACATAACTTCAAAGGTCCTAGTACCCATACTAAAAGTGAAAAAGAAGGAGCTGAAATTAATTTGAATAATATATTTTACTTAACCCATCATATCCAAAATATTATTTCAACATGCCACCAATATATAAAATAATTCAATATTTCTTATTCTTCTCATAATAAGTCTTTGAAATCCAGTATGTATTTTACACTTACAGTGCATTCCAATTTGGACTCACATTTCAACAGCTACATGTGGCCACCTCATTGGACAGTAGAGCTCTTTATTATAATTATTTGTCTTTGTTATGTCTACTTCCTGCCCAACACGCTCTCCTAGATTTGGGGATGGGGGATGCTGCTGGGAGGAACCACAGTGTTTCCAGGACTGGCCAGCCCAGCTCAGGAGTTAGGAGGAGAGATGACCCTCCCCAGAGGGCTGGATACAAAGAGCCCTTCCTCCGGGAGCTTGAAGCACCCAGTCACCAGTGAGCTGAGCAGATCCACTGATGGTGATGGTGATGGTGATGGTGATGACGAAGCGAGGAGGGATGGTAGTGATAACAGCTTCCATTTACTGAGAGCCTGCTCCTGCCAAGTTCCGTAATAGGGAATCTCATACACTCTTAAGTCCAACGGTAACGCTGTGGGTGTAGACACCACTATGATCCTTATTTTACAGATGAGGAAACTGAGGTGTGGCGGGTTATTAACTTGTCCAAAGTTACACAGCTTGCACTGGGATTTGAACCTGATTCTTGTAGCCTTCAGAGCCCATGTTCTTTTTTTTTTTTCTATTTTTTGACGGGATCTTAGTTCCCCATCTAGGGATCGAACCCAGGCCCCCAGCAATGAAAGTGCCGAATCCTAACCACTGGGCCGCCAGGGAATTCCCAAGCCCATGTTCTTTGCCAGCGTTTACCTCTCTGACGTGATCAAGGACATAACAATAATAATTATTATTATTTATTATTATTATTTCCATTAATTGAGAACTTGCTCTGTGCCAAGCATTGTGTTAAGTGCCTTATCTCATTTAATCCTCAGAATAGGATTGCTGCATTTACGGGGGAGAAAAAGCAGGTCCCCCCCACAGTTAAATTTAAATTTCACAAGTCTGAAGCCCAGGAGGGAAGGGCAGACACTGGACTTGGTTCCAGTCACAGGGCAGAGGCAGGAGATTCAGGGACCACCGTCTTCCTCTCCCAGGTAGGGATGCCAGGACACCCGGTTAAATTTAAAAGATGGCAACTAATTTTTTTTTTCTTTAGCGTAAGTATATCCCATGCAACGTTTGGGACATATTTATACTAAAAAATTAGAAGTTGCTTATCTGAAATTTAACTGGGTGTCCTGTGTTTCTTCTGGCACCCTTAACCCAGAACAAGTTGAAGTTAGGAAACTACAATTCTCCTCATTTTCTGGATGAGGATGTGGGGAGCTTTAAACCCAGATCTGCCTGATTGCAGACTCTGAAGGGGCAAGTGTGGCTGCTGAGATAGCTGAGAGCCTCTAACTGTGCTGTAGCTCTAGGGGGAATTTCTTTTTCTTTTCTTGGGCTGGATTTGCATTTAGACTGAGGCTGGGCTGGGGTAGGTGCTAGGAAAAGCCTCTGGGAAGGGTGGAAGGATCGGGCCCTTCCCTCCTGCCACAATGTTCCTTCCCCTGTCACCAGCGTGGCAGGAGAAATGTCAGGCACTTACTTATGCCCCCTGTGGGGACAGCTGCACCCTGCTTGCAGTTGTTGGTGTGGAGTATGGGATGCGCCAGGGCCGGGCTCGGCAGGGATCTTGTTGTTCTGAGGCTGTCACAAACGCAGGCCGCCCCTGTCCTGAGTGACCATGAGGTCCACGTGGGCTGATGGCTGCCTTTCTTGGCTTTGATGCCGGCCTTGTGTCCCCACTGCAGGCCCGGTACCCCCAGCTCATCAGCAGAGTGAGAGGACGAGGCACCTTCTGCTCCTTCGACACGCCAGATGAATCCATACGGAATAAACTCATTTCAATAGCCAGAAACAAAGGTAAGGCAGCCAGGGGTACCCACATTTCCTGGTGGGGGGCCCGGAGGGAGGGGGAGGGGAAGGTGATTCACAGGACTGAAAATAGTCTGAGTTGCCTTTCTCAAAAGAAGAGAAAGTTACCAGGGAGCTTTCCTTATACATTTATTCATTCAACGATATTCGCCGAGAAGGTGAGCAGAAGGTGAGAGGTACCAACTCTGGAGAGGGTCAGGAGAGCCAGGGTCCCTTCCTTCAAGGAGCTTGCAGTCTAGCAGGAAGGGGTGACATCAAAGAGAATATTCCATATTACAGTTATAAGTCCTAGAACAGAGGAAAAGGAGCTAGAGAACGAATAGCTGGGGGAAATGTCCAGGAAATCAGGGAGGGCTTCCTTGAGGAAGTGGCATTTTACCCTACATCTTGCTGGATGAATAGGGATTGGCCAGGTGAAGAAGGTGAGAAGGAGCATTCCGGGCAGGGGAAGGGATGTGTGCCTTTAGCTGGGCAGAATGGGGCATACAGAGGGAGAAAACAAATGCATGGAGTGGAATGAGGGACAGACGGGTGGCAGGGGGTGAATCAGGTTTACGTCAGCCTGGGGATGAAGTTCGAGATTGTGGACTTTCTCCTAAGAGCTATAGGAGCCATGGAAGTTTTAAGTGGGGCAGATCAGAGAGCCTACTATGTGTCAAAGCTGGTGTCTTTCACCTGGACCATCTTAGAGAATCCTGCAGCAGCCCTGAAGGGCAGGGGTAACTCGCCTCCTCTTGAGAATGAAAAAACTGAGTCTCAGCGACGCTATATAACCCAGCCAAAGAGCCCCATCTAGTCAGAGGTGAAATCGCCCTTTAAAAGAAGCAGATTCTGAGAATTCCCTGGCAGTCCAGTGGTTAGAACTCCACACTCTCACTGCCGGGGCCCCGGTTTGGATCCCCGGTTGGGGAACTGAGATCCTGCAAGCTGTGCAGCGCGGCCCCTCAAAAAAAAAACAAAACTCAGATTCCGTCCTTCATAAGCGCTGCTAACCTGCCTACACTTCTGTAATTTACTTCTTATTTTCTTTCCCCACCACACCAGGAGTTTCTGGAAGGCAAGGACTTTATGTCAGGATTTCTCAATCAGTAGGCCTAGCTCAGGGGCAGCAGAGCTGGCCTTCAAAGTTGGAAGTGAGGGAGGGGAGAGAAGGGCAGCTGAGCGGGCCGGTGAGAGAGAATGGGAAGGAGGGCTGGACGGGTGGCTGCAAGGAAGGACAGAACGGTTCGGATGGATGGGGCAGCCACCGTGTGTGACCTCGTCCGGCTCCCCAGCCCGTGACTCCAAGCCCAAGCCCCTAACCCACCCCCGCCTCTCCTTTTAGGCCTGATGCTGGGGGGCTGCGGCGACAAATCCATCCGCTTCCGTCCCACTCTGGTCTTCAGGGACCACCACGCACACCTGTTCCTCAATATTTTCAGCGACATCTTAGCCGACTTCAAGTAAAGAAGCCATTTCCTCCACGCTCTGAGGAAGCCCTGATCTCACCCCTTGTCAAATTGATTAGTTTGCCTAATTCATGTTTTCACTTAAAGTATCAGAGGTGAATGCATAAACTGGAGGATTATTTGTGGGGAGGGAATGTTTCTCGTGGCTTGGGGGGAGGGGAGGGGCTGGTTTGCTCTCTCCCTGCAGAGCCAATGGTGGACATTGGTTTTAAGCCCAGAAATTCTGCTTGAGCCCTGGACGTAGTCTTAGGTTGGGCCCCGAGGGTCCTGGCCAGGTTATCTGCCATCCTCGACCCCAACGATACCTTTGGAAGCCAGTCAAGGGAATGATACCTGCTCCTGGGGCTGGTGGCTGGGACTCCTGGGTTCCGTCCCTCTCAAGTGACGTGTTCTGAACGGGGAGGACGCTGGCTCCCCCTGCCCTATGCAGGCAGACATGCTTACCCCTCGCGCCCAGGCCCCGAAGCTCTGAGCATGTCCCATGCGCAGTCCAGTGACGGGCAGGACAGAGCATATTAAGGCAAGAGAGTAGGGACACGGCATTGAGCTTGGGGGTGTGGGAAGGGGTCTTCTGGCCTCCTAAAGAGTAGGGCCACTCCCCCGATCCATCCGGGGATTCCTCTCCAAACTGTGAATTCTCGCCTTCATGGGACTTCGTCCTGGGAGAATCTCTGGGTGGCATCGCCAACAGGTCTTACTCACCACCCTCGTTCCCCAAATTCCCTCCCTCCCGTTAAACGTCAGCCCAGACCTCTGTGGAAAGAAAGCTGCACCTGATCATCCCAGGGACACACGCCCAGGAGTATAAGCCCAGGCCTGGGGCAGCAGAGACCCCTCCTCCTGTCCCCACGGCACCTGGGGTCTGACTTTGGACCCCTCGCCCCGGGACCCTTTCTCTAGCTCTGCTCATCCACCTCTGCTCCACTTCTGAGCCGTCCCAGGAACGGCTTTGCTGCTACATCAAAGCTGGACTAGGTGTCTTCCTGCTGGAGGCATCATGAATTGAAGGCGCCAGAGTTCCATGCAGGAAAAAGTAGCCTGTTGGTGCAAGGTGGCTTCCTTGTCGTTACCCCTCCAAGTCAGAGATTTTCCTGCCATGAGTGACTTTGAGATGACCAGGCAGGTGATGCTTAGAGGCTTAATTGGATGATGGCTGAGGCTAAGGGGGTCTCTGCTGGAGGCGAGACAATTTTGGAACTGATTTGACCTCAGATGCTCCTAAAAAGAGCATTTGGTCGTCCTCCAGCAACGAGTGTTGTTTAGCGGGTAGATGAAGGAAGTCTGTCCAAAAGGAAGCCACTTGGTCTCCTGGTGCCTTGGTTGATTATTTTGGGAGCCGGGCAGATCAAGATTCTCAATTCGGCACTTTTCTCTTTTAATAACTAACCATCCAAAGATCTCAAAGTGGGTTGTTTTTTTTCTGCTTCCGCTTTTCAGCAGATTTGGTCATCATCCTATTTTTGCCAAGAATGAAAGGCAGTCACGTGTTTAACAGACGAGGGGGAATCCCTGAATCCCGGTTCACCCTGCATTCCTG